GATGACAGAGCATGGAATAGGGTGCCCTGGGAGGTCGTGAAGCCTCTCTTTCTGGAGACATTCAAAACCCACGTGTTCCTATGTAACCTCCAGAGGTCCTTTCCAACCCTAACAATTCTGTGATTCTCTGAACCTGGGTGGGAGGAGTGGCTGGAGGTCTGTCCCTGCTCCTCTGACTGCAGGGAGCTGAGGATGGGTTAAAATCTTTGATCTTCATTCCAGTTGCTTTTGCAGCGCTCGCTGCTTGCTTGTTTTCTTCTCACTGTTTCTGGGCTCTTTTTGGTAAACTGGAAGTTGTCAAAGAAGTCTGGGCCACGACATGGTGTGCTTTGGTCCTGTCTGTGGTTTCAGATGGCAGAAGGTGGTCACTGTTTGTCTGCATGTAGCTGCACTCAGGTGTCTGATGTTAACAACAGCACACTCATATTTAGCACAAATGTGTCGTCTCTGAGCAGTCTGCAAAGGAAGCTTCAAAACAGACACGAGAAGACAGCCCCTGCCCTACACCTTTCACAGAGCTTTATATTTTGATGCAGCATTCCCCTTTTGTGTCTAATCAAAATAGGTTCTTCCATGTTTTGTTTTTCTTTTCTGCTACCAGTGTTTTAGGGCAGCTGATAACTCTAATGTCTGCACTACAAATGCTTGTAAAGTTTGCATCTTTAACTTTTTTATGTCAAACTTTTTTAGCACTCTTATCCCATAACAGTTAAGAGCAACCTTTCTTCAGAGTCAGCTGTGTGTCCAGTCAGGCTGCTGGTATAAATTGTAGTGTTCTGTTTGTCCTTGGGGTTATCTGCAGAGGAGAGGCAGGCTATGGCAAAATCAGTAAGCTTAATGTTGCTGTAAGAATGCACTCCTGTCAAAATGCTGCAGGAATAGGATGAGGAGAATGGTTGTGTTTACCCATGCTAATATATCATGTGTCACTTCAGATACTTAATGTGTGATAGATCCATGCCGTGGAATCCACTTAACTTGGATAAGAGACTTCAGGGACAGAAACTGTTTTCATTAAATGATCTTTATTGTGACCAATATGTATGGGTTCTGTTTACATTCACAAAATTGTTTTATCTCTTTACTAGGTGAAGATATTTGCCCCCAATATTGAGCAAAGAGATGTAGTCAATCACCTAAAAGGAAGTCCAACAGAAGAGAAGAGAAATGTGTTAGTTGAAAGTGCCAGGTTGGCAAGAGGAAACATTCAGGATTTGGCTGAACTGAAAGCTGCTGAATTTGATGCGGTCATTTTCCCTGGTAGGTACTCAATATATTTATTAATTATTAAGTCATTAAGTTCACTAACTTACAAGTTAGTGTAAGCCAGAGTGTTCTTTTGGTATTAAGTTAAGCATCACACCATTCCTTCGTTCTAAAGATTGTGAAAACTTCAGTTACCTGCTTGCCAACAGGAACACTGACCAGAGTACAAAAATAGGGTCAGAACTTGGTGTTACATGGCAGTGCCTTAATTTTAGGGCTTCTGAAATGGTTGACAGAATAGCAGGTCGCCAGATAAATTATATTCCCTCTCAGATGTGAGTAGATTCTGTTTTAATCATGTATCTTCTCTGCAGCTGATCAAGTTATACTAAGCATGTCTATGGATAATTTTTTATTTAGAGACCACAAAATTGCCTTCCAGACAGAGGTAATTGTAATCACTTTTAGAAATGAAGAAACCAGAGTGTCATGAGGAAATTATGAGTTGCTGAAGATCACTTTTGAGAATATTCATAGTACTGTTAAATACTGCCTTTGTGATTGGCCCTAAATGTTAAAGTAAGGCCAGCAGAGGGAGCGTGTGTATAACGCAGAGAAACATTCTGCCGGCACTAAAACTGTGTCTGATACCAGGGCTGACCAGGGCAGGAGGAGAGGCTCACAGATGTTTTCCACGTTAATTTCATGCTCTTATAACCCAGGCTCTGGGGGTTGCTGTAATAACTGTTAGAGGGAAATAAACTCTATTAAGCTTGAAAATTAAAATCTTACCTCAGAGATTTCAGATCACACTTGAAAGTGAGCAAACCGGGAAAGAAAAAATATTAAAAATGCAAAGCTTCTTTATGTTGTCCATTAAAATACTTGTGAAAATCTCTGTATGTTTATTGTAGAAAAGTTGATGTCATGAACATTCCATAAAGAATCAAGTGTAAAAACTTACTAATAACCTTACTTGGATTATTCTGATGGTTATAAATCTAGCAAACAAAGGGGATATAAAATACAATCTGTTTGTACAATTAAATGAAGATTAAGTGCAACTAGTTTCTAGAAAGACAAAACAGCACTATTTTTAATCAGAAATGTTGGCATCATTCACAAGTTTTTTGTCTCAGAATATCATGTTATAATTTCCTCTTTATGTAAAATCTTCTCCATTTTTACAGTGTTAATCTCTTTGGTTTTAAGTCTAAAAATAATTCTAGGGAAGGAGAAATGCTCTCCTATAATTGCTTAAGTATCAAACTAAAACTTGAGTGTTGATTACTGTACAGGGTCAAATCACTGTTTGCATTACTCCTCTGCATTGCACACTTCTGCATTTAACTAGTATTGGTCTTTCTTCTGATCCCTCTCTTATTGAGGGGTGCATAACAGATGGTGCAGCTGTTCTAGTGACTAGCAGATGAATGGGACCGTTTCCTGTTTGTCTATTTGCCACTTCTTGAAACAAGATTAAGCTTTCTGGCATATATATATATATATATATATATATATATATATATATGTATGTATATAACCTACATGGTATAAAAAAGTGTGCCGTTAAACTTTTAACATTGTAAACCATCATTTACAGGTTACAGTTACATCGTTAGGCTTTTGGCACAGTAACTTAACAGTCCTAGGTTATGTTGTAAAATATTATGTTGTAAAAAAGAGCTTCTGTCTGTTATTGAATTTAATGGCTTTTAGCAGTGCCTTACATTTGAGCTTTTTGTCTGGGTTTTTTTTAGGTGGTTTTGGTGTAGCAAAGAACCTGTGTTCCTGGGCTGTAGATGGCAAGAACTGTACTGTCAACGAGCACGTGAACTCCACACTCCAAGCTTTCCACAGTGCTAAAAAGCCCATTGGTTTGTGCTGTATATCACCAGTTCTGGCAGCTAAAGTCTTTCCTGGTTGTGAGGTTACGGTCGGCCAAGATAAAAATGTAGATGGAAGGTAAGAAGGAAATGGATGGAGATGATTTACATGGGAATTAGGATATTGGCAGTCTTCTGTGCAAAAGTCTCTTTATTTATTGTGCAGTGTGATGGCTAATGAGTCACTGGGTGTAGCATCTGCCAGTCTTAAAAGTGAGAGAAAAAGTGGCTTTTACAGGATCATAGCTGTGCAAACATGCAGGTGACCAGGGATATCAAGTTATTTTTTCTTGTTCCATTCATGGCAATTGAGGGATAGATTTTAGCTCATCTTAGGCGAAATACAGAATTTGCTTACCCGATGCCTTTGAAGGCCGTGATTTATCTTGCAAATGTGCAAATGAAGAACAGGCATTTGGCCAGCTGGCATTCAGAAACTCAGTACCCTGTGGTAATTTGAGTGGCTGTTTAAATTGCTTCTGTGGGCTTTTGTCTGCTCATGGATTTTTAATAAAAGTTTTTCCGGTCATAGTGGTTTGGGGCCAGTTTAGGGGAGGCAGATGAGAACAGGGCCTGGCAGAAGTCAGTGCTGCTTAAAGGACTGTCAACTCCTGATAAAACTTCTGCACTAAGTTTGCCAGCAGCAGCAGTGAGTGGTTGTATCTGTTCCTCCCTTATCCTCAGAAAACAAAAAATCAAAATTCCTCTGCATAATCCCAGAGGATAACTTTGCATGGAGGTGTTGGAAAAGATGTAATATGTCTGCAGGTTCACCTGGCTTCTCTCAAACCTTTGAGGATCAGTTATGGTTGCACTTGGTATAATTTTATAAACTTACTGAAAGATGGTTAAAAACAGAATTGTACCTTCTGACATACCATGGCTCTGCATTTCAGACCTTGTTTTCAAAGGTATCAGATCACTTAGTGCATCCAGAAGGGGTGGGAGAACCTGACAGTAGCAGCCCCTTTAACTCCCATGTCATCATCACATAAAAAGTCACTTAGATATTACTGTAGTTCTCTCACTCTAGTTACGTTGGCAGAACTTTATGGTTGTATCATCTCTTTATGTTAATTAAAGTTTTTATTTACAGATTTCCTGATGCTGAAACGGCCTCTGCTATAGCAGAGCTTGGATGTAAGCACGTTTGCAAAAATGTAAATGAATCTCATGTGGATAAAGCCAATAAAATAGTTACTACCTGTGCTTTCATGTGCAAGGCTCCTCTGCATGAAATCTTTGATGGAATTGGAACAATGGTACAAGAAGTCCTGAAACTTGCCTGACTGGAAGCATACAGACTTCTGCAAGGAAATCAGTGTAGCTAAGCATAAGCATTTAGCTTCTTTTGATTGTATTAATAAAACAATGTAACTGCTGAACTTCATAATTCTTGGTTTGTTTGGTGTGATTTTTTTTTTTTTCTCTTTAATATATCATGGTTATTTCTAAGTTTATCTATTTCTCTTCTAAAGTAGAAGCCATGTGTTGAAGGTGATTTTTTTTCTCATAAATCCAAATGTGTTCAGTCTTGAAAAGATAGTGCAGCAGGGTTTTATCACATCATTAATGATCATCAGTAGTTCACATTTGCTGTTACCCAACTGTAATTACAGGTGAAATAGCTGCAAATGAGTCTGTTTACTTGCAGTATAGATGAGTAAATCAAGTCTGCTTTATAATCAGAAGGGGGAAAATATGTGGTTATTTGGGTATTTTTCTTCCCTGGTAAGTCTAAGCAAGTACAAGAAATGGACTTCTGAAATTTTTGCAGAGCCCCTAGGTAAACCAACTTTATAAACCAAGATCCAGCACAAATGAAAGCATTGTATGTGGAAAATAGACAAGTTTTGCTCTAATAAATGGAGCCATTTGAGATTTAATTAGTAAAATGAATTAGCTTTATTTCATGATTTTTTTGCATACATAGTTTAGTACCCCGAGGAAGATTTTATATATGTTAGAACACATGCTTTGATCTTACAAATGTGAACAAAGGTTGTCAGCTTCTCTTAGAGGCACAATCTGTCAAGGCTTTATACTCCTGAAGGAACAAAAAATTCCCAGAACTCATTATCAAGGTATATTGATTTTTGCTGTAGACACTTAATTGCCTCGCAAAAGAAGTGTTCTGAAGCTCACAGGTCTCTGTCACTCATGCCAAGTGTACTGTAGCCTAAGCTTTGCCATGCCTGAAGGAATCTAAACTGTCATCATGTGCTAATCGTGTCATGTTGAGCAAGTGCCTTGTAACTGGAGTGGGAATAAAACAGGAACAGATCTGTACCACAGAGCAACCAAAAGATGGAACTGGGAAATAACGCTTTTATGACGAGGAGTGTTGAGTTGTCCCTGTAGCTCGGCAGCTGGTGTGATCAGGACAAGCACTGGCCTTTAGCCCATCAGTGCAAGGCCAATCATTACAGCAGAGCCCGACGTGTTGCAGAGTATCAAGTGCTACTACTCCGTGCTGTGCTTATTTTAGCACAAATGTCAAAGCTCAGCTGTAACAGGTGGCCTCTTCAAGGAGGCTGTAGAGATAAATCTACAGAAATAAATTATATATATAAAGGCTTTATTATTCCCTGTCCTTCTAACAGTGATGATTTTCACAGACACAGCATTTCCATACTCCTCCAGAATTTGGATTTCCTGTACGGAGTTATTTAGGAGAAGCAGAACACAGATTTTTGGCAGAAGAGCAGGGAAATTTTTGTGTCGTGCACAAGCAGTGAGTGCTCTGCCTCTAGAGGAACAAAGATAGCTGAAGTCAGCTGTGCCAGCAGAGGATCTTCTGTTCAGCCCGACTGAGCTCTGCACATACGTAGTAAATTATTTACTTAGTGAAAAGCTATTATACTGGACTGAACATGGTTCTTGTGTTAGAGGAGTCTTATTTAAAAGTGCTTGAGTCACTAAACAAGAGTTTGCCCTGAATTTTGTGTTTGCTTTGTGAACAGCATCTAGCTGTCAGCTGGAACATTCAAAAGCGCAGCTTCTGTGAAAGCTCTCTAGCTGACTGTCCTGATAGAAAGGTACCTAACACAGAACAGTCCTCTACTTTTTCCAGGTTGTACACAGTCTCTATAATGCCTTCTGTGGCTTCTGTGGGCAGGACGCTGAGGGCATTGGATTGAAACTTTTTCTCCAAGTCCTGCTTTTTCAGAGGTTTCCTCCAGTGTCCGTAGAACGTATCGCAGCGGTCACTGATCATGTTGCCATCCCGAAGTGTGACACTCACTTCGCAGTAAAGACTCTCAAAGCTGGGTGTGTTATCAGGAGGATGCTCCAGCTCTGTTTTGTGGAGGAGCTCCTGCAGGGATGGCCGGTGAATATTCTCATTGGTGAAGGACTGGACTGACACGCTGCCATCCAGCAAAGCAGAGCATGCAACAAACTGGAAGGAGTGTCGTGCTTCATGTTCTGAGGCTGGGCTGGGTCTGTTCACATATTTGACCTCGGGGACTTTGAGAATTACTTTCTCAATTTTATCAAGAGGGAGCAAGTTGCCACTGCTCCCCGCAAGCTTCCACCTAACAGAAGATGCTGCATCAGCCACCCAGTGTGTTCCAAGATGAGCAGGAAAGCGTTTGATGGCCACATCTTGCTGGTCCAACAGCCAGGGATAGGACTGCAAGGTTGGCAGAGTCTGTGGGTTATAATCGGTATAAAAGGCACCTATCCCTGACTTCATGTCCAAGATCTGTTTGTTTCCTTGAAGGCCCTGTGAAGCTAAGCAAGCTGCTTCCAGTCCATGCTTGGCAGCATTGCCAACGTGAAGGGGCTTTGTTTGGGTTGCTGCATTAGCCAGTGGGGCACCTGCATAGGAGGCAGCGATGGCCAAGGTATTTTTACATCCCAGCTGGTCAAGAGCTAGCAGTTTAGCACAAGCTGCTGCACTCCCCATTGTACCAACCACAGTCGGTGGGTGAAACCTGCGAAAACAAAAATATCTTCATGACTGTATTTCAAAAATTAACCTGAATTCACTGTATACACAAGCTTTCTATTCATGGCTGTGGAAGACAGATTGGACCATAACGAAACATACATTCAGAATTCATGTGCGGACCTAATTCATGTGCAGAAAGTTGTCACTTTCCCCCAGGAATAAGTTAAACTGGAATAGTACCACTTGCAATAGGTCTTTCCCAGAAAACAATTGAAATGTTAGAACTGTTCATGGTTCAAAGCATACTGAACAGAATAACAGCAAAAGCATCACAGTTTATAGTCATGTATAAATTATTCTAAATAAATTTAAACTCACATATAAATTTGTATTTAATATAATATTTATAATAATAATTTAAATTTATGTATTATTATAAATCTATAATAATTTATAGTCATCTCTAAATTACACATATCGGGGGAGGTAAGTTTTGTTATTCTGAACTAGTTTTGCAAAATTGATAGAAAGAACGTCCAGAAAATAGCAAGAAGACAACTAGGCCATCCCACACTTCAAGGCTTTTACCCCATCTTCTTGGGCTCTGCTCTGAGCCCAACACTGATGACTCCTTTCTGCTGAGAGCAAGCTGCTGTTTGAAAGTGAGGCGTGATTGTATGTATTCATGAACGCCTGAGATTTCTAATGTTAAATGTTGCTCTTTTGCTGCTCTTTTTTATTAGTAGGAAGATCATCACCTCCTTCTTGTGAATTGGTCAATGCTTTCAAAAGAAATTAACTAAACCATAAGGAGTCAAGTAAGTGTATTTACATTTAAGATGACCCCTTCCTAAATTTCCAGACAAACAGCATAGAAAATATGAATAACTGTGCCATCTGTATTTTAACTGACATGTAATTAAGTATATTAACATTGAGAAAAAAAAACTTCCACTCAACTTTCTACTTGAAACATTTCTATGTACCTTTTTGGAATATTCCTGGCTTCACTGGAGAAGCGCAGCAGCCGACCTTGCACTTCAATTCCCACATTGAAAGCTAAGAGCAGATCAAGACCTGAGATTTTTTTCTTCTGAGGAAAGGCCTCTGAGAGTGCAATCACAGCAGGGAGCACAGCCCCGGATGGGTGTGTGGCTGGATGCCAGGTGTCATCAAAATCCATTGAGTGCACCTAATGGAAAGAGAAGCATTGTTTTGTCATTAGGAATAAAGTATGACTGGGCAAGTCAGACTGTAATTGGTATAAAAGTAATTGGTATAAAAAAGAACACGATTTTCCTTAGAAAGCAAACCTTCAAAAGTCTTTAAGACCTTTACTCACAACATGGCTTCCTGAGAAGTGATAATGCAATAAAAATCTTGCCTGCAAGGAGTATAATTCTAATTCAAGTTGCACCAGCCTAAAACCGGTATGACAATGATTCTTTTCTCCTGCAATTGGTTTTTGCTGCTTTAATTAGACCTGTATAATTAAAGTAGCAGTTCTAGCATTCACTATGTGAATGGTGAATTTGCACTTCACCCAAAACATAATGAAATATAAACAAATGAAATTACTTCCCCGGTGCTCCATTCTGATGCTGCTGTTAGGACTCACATCATACAGCTATAGCAGTCAAATCCATACTGCTCAATGAAAGTTTTATTATCAGAACTACTTCTCCAGTGCAACTATCCCCAAGCCTGCAAATGTGCAGGAGGCTTTAGCCTGAATTTTCAGCACATTGAAACAAGACTTGTCACATAAAGAACCAGACTCCCTTGAATTGCTAGGAGTAGGAGAAGGCTACAGTCTTAATACTGGGATGAGCTGCTTAGCCTGAGAAAGTATCCAAAGTGGTGCTTCTCTTAACTCTGCCCAGAGCCCAGCTGCTCATGAAGATGTTGGGCATTCCCAGCATGGCATATGGCTTCTGTTCTGGTAGCAGACAGCTCCAGGCAGCAATGCAGTGCAGTCACTGTTTGTAATGTACTGCTTATCAGACATGTTCCCTCCCCTGCAAAGTTTTGAGAATCCTCGAGGACCTGAGAGGATTCTCAGGGACAACATTTTTAATAGCACAATAATACTTGAAAAATTGACCTTCGCATCTATTCACCCATGTGTTACTTCAGAGCAAAGTGGGAAGGTGCTCAGGCTCCCCAGTGCTCAGGTTTTGCCCTGTAGTACTGGGAATATGCACTTCTGAGGACTGTGTTTCTGAACAGATAGAAGAAAACCCAGTCTGCCTCAAAAAACTTTGATGCCATCTGGGAAGATGCCCTGCAGTGCAGGATAAGGAAAGTTGTGTCCAATACCCAGTAAGCTGTGTTTCTGACGTCTTCAGTAAGTGCTTATAATTGACCTGTGACCGAGATGTAAACTGAAATGATCATATACCTGCTAACGGCCAGATTTGAATATTACAAGGGCTGCTATGAGCTGAGAGGTACCAGATCTCATTTCCAACATAATTTTCTCTACATTGGAAATGAGCTTTTAAATTGGACCTCTGATTTTGTTGTCACACTAATTTAAATAGGCTTAATAGTACCATTTCCTTGGTTGGTCACCTTTTCTAGTTTTGCATAATTGCCAAATTTGTCTACCTCACCTCTTATGCATCTTTCAATTTCAAATGGTTTCAGCTCCAATCTGAATTTAGACAAATGTCTGGGGAGTCACTTATTGCTTTAATGACAAAGTATGTGTCCAAAATATATAATTGGTTTTTGCAAAATGGGTAACTGAAGATTAAATTGCCTTGTGATGGTATATGTGTGTGTATCTACATGTTCATCTGTCTGTATTTTTCTGCAGATACGCTTTGCCAGTTGGCATGAAATTTGGATCCCAGTGAAATCAGTGACATCTAGAGTGTCTCTTTCTAAGCACCTGTAGCAAGGCTGTAACAAGCTGTAGAGTTCTGACCTTTGAAAACAGTCCCAGGTCTCACATTAAAGGTACGGTATGCTGTTGAGTTGGATCAGATATATATTACAGCTTAAGCTCAGTCTCATTGGAAGGAAGTTGAAGCACATTAGGAGAACTGTGTAGGAAAGTTTTGTAGCAGGTTTCAGAATAAGCTTTTTGGAACATTCTGTTCTCTCTAGAGCAAGAATGGCATCAATTAGTGTGATTTAAGAGCAAATAAAAGAGCATCCCTTACAGCCACTCCATTCACAAAAGCTGCATACAGAGGAGGCAGTCGGAAATCCAAGCGGCCCCAGATGGTACTGGATAAATCTGAGCTGTAGATCTGAAACAAATTGACATCAGTTAATTCAAAGTCCTGAACCTAAGGACAAATATGTGCTGTATCTCTGATATAACAGAGATCAGACCATACCCTCTTGGGACCTAACTGCTCCTTTTTATGTGAAAAATTATGTTCTTTCAGAAGGTATGACAATAAACTCAGTTTCCTTTTGTCTTGTGTCCTATTCCACTCAGAGATCAGGGGGCAGACTAACACCATCCACTTGGCCACTCAGTACCTTCACAAAACCTCTGGCCATTCATATCTCTTCCCACCACCCATCAACAGTTCCCTCAGAATCACAGAATCAATTAGGTTGGAAAAGACCTCTGAGATCATCGAGTCCAACCTAAATGACAGGACTGTCATCATCTTGTCGGGCAAGATGTCCAGTTAAAGGTTTTGGTTTTCTATGTTTTAGTGAGACCTTGAGTAAAAAATAGATGGCCTCCTGGTGCTGCAAAATGAATCAAAGGACACAAACTACCATGGTTTGGAAAGGAGTGTTCTCTGTGGGAGGAGACCTATCAGCACACAGAGCTCTGGAGCATGAGGCCAACTAGGCAGATCTGAACAATAAAATAGTGGGCTAAATTCCTCCTCATTGATGCACTCCTGTGTTGGAAGGGCTTTTCCTCAGTGTCAAGTAATCCTCTAGTTTAAGGAGAGCAAGACTAGAGGAGAAACATGGCTAATGTACCTTAGACAACAATTATGTTTTATGGACTGTAAGTAACCCACTACTAATTCTCCATCCCTTTAACTGTCCCTTAATTTGAAAGGCTGGCAATAAGTAGTGTTTACTTTGCAGATGTTTTTAATAAAATCTCATAGGTGAAAGAAAGGAAAGGATTCTTAATTCACTGTGTTTGCAGAGGGGGATCTTAAGATACAGACTGATACACAAACTGTTGCCCATCCAGAGTGAAAAGTAACTTGAGCACTGAAGTTTCCCTGTCTCCAGTGGAAAGAACACCGTCTCTCTTTTTCCATCCACAAAAGAATTTCGCCATGGCAAAGTTTCCCTTTTATAGCCCAAATTTCCACTTGCTTTTCTTAAAGCTAAACCTTAGAGTGTGCTATAAATGCCAGACACTTTACCTTACTGTACTGTGTCACCTTGTGGCAGACCTCAGTGCTGGTACCCAGAAGCCCCACTCCAAGAGTATCCAAAATCATTCGCTTGCTTCTCTCAATTACTTGGTCTGTCAAATGATTTGCATTCAAACCATGAATCACATTGGCAAAATTTCCCGTAATTGTCTAGGAAGGGAAAAAATAAAGAAAAAGAAGAAGTGGATATTTATCTATATTTAAAGTAAACTCTACTTTTTTTTCTTTCCTCTTTTTTGCTTTCAGTTTTGGGCTACTGCTTAGTATGCTGGCTGTTTTTGTTGCCCTGCTTCTGCTTACATGAATTGCATCAGTATAACTAAGGTTTGAATTCTTCCTCTTTTTATTCCCAGAAATGCCACTGTGTTATTTATACTTTATTTATCCTTTCATCATCATCCCTTTCTGTGCTGTATTTCGTCTGCTTTCTCACTGACTTGAATCCTTGAGAGTATGTACTGCAGGTGCTATAACTTTGCAAGATTATCTCTATCTATCTCTGTCTATCTCTATCTCTAATGACTATTCATGCACACACATATAAAACAAATAGAAGTAAAAAACATCTATCGTTCCATAGCACCTTCTTATTGCTACTGAAATCAGTGGGAAAATGGCATTTCAAGCCAGTGCAACCACTACCACATAAGAAGGCAAGATTTCATCTCCCTGATTAGCAGCATTACTATCCCAAATCTTGCCGAGCTTGGAGCTCAGTGGGAGGCAGGACTTGGCAGCCCTACCTTGCACATGTTGCTCATAGCTTCCAGCTCGCATTGAATTCACTCTCAGCTGGAGTCCAAGCTTTTCTCCAAGGCAAGATCTTGCCTCTTTGAAGAGCAGTGGCTCCTTGTTCCTGGATCATGCTGATCTGGGAATTATATATATTTATTTCCCTCTCCTATTGAGCATTGACCTATTAGGCAAATTCAACCTGCTTCTTGGCTGGAGCTGTGAGCTGCTGTTAGTATCTACATTAGAAAATAATCTAGAACTTCCCTTCTTGGACTATTAGAAATGTCCCCTTGTAGAGGTATACATTATTTACAACCAGTCTATACACACAACTTCTTTTTTATACTGGCATTACTGAATATATATCTTCTCTCTCTTTGGAAATTGTCCCCTTCCATTTCCCCTCATCCTTCCCCTTTCTTTACTCCCCTGCACATATCCACAAAGAGTTATGGTATTTCCTTTTGATCTTCATTTTGCTAAGTAAAACAAACCAAATAGCTGTTCTCTCCTTTGTAATACAAATTCAACCCTACTGTGCTCATATTTTTTCATTGTGTTGTTCACATTGGATTCCTCTTTTTCTAGCAATGGTGACCAGAATTGTACCTGTTAATACAGGCAAGTTCTCACTCAGCCTTGTACTAAAGCATTAAGATTATCTTGAGGAAGTAGTTACAAGCAGTTTAAAGCATGTGAACCACATATCCTGTACTGTGACATACACCTACTGAAATAAACAGAGTGAGGATACAAAAGCTTAAACAGAGAAGTGCATCTTACAGTGCAAAGAAATAAGACAGTACCTTTGCCCACATCTTGTAGGGATGGTGCAAGTCCCAGAGAGACCCAGCAAATAAGTTGTGATCAGTGAGCAGGGGAACTCACTTTCTCATTATTTATATGTGTCTGTCTGGGGTGGGGGAAGAAATATTAGGCCTTTTTTCTTGCTCAACTTGTCTTATCCATTTCCTCCTCTGCCTGGAATTTTTTTTTCTTCACTTTCAACTTTCCTCTGACTAATTGTACCATAAACCGTGGGGACTTGTGAGATAGGACTTAGGCAGTCATGTTCTCATGTTGTGTAATTGATATATGCAATACTTCATTACCAAGTAGAAACTAATATATTAATTCAAGTGTCTTATGTTTGGTAGCATGGCGAGGTGTGTGGAACCACAATAATCCATGGATAACAAAACTGGTTGGGAAAGCAATCATCCCAATACTAGACTACAGGATGGCAGAGGCTGTTTTAGCTTAAAAAAACCTGTTGTTAGTTTGTTTTATTTTTTTCTTCTTTTGCTGTATGTCTCTACAATACATACAATTCAGACATGGGAAATGTATGCCTTAAGAATTTCAGACCATCATTTGGATTAAGGCAGCTCTTGGCACTTAAGTAGTGTTTTAACAGCATGAATGTGTTAGCGATAGGTTGTGAGTGAGAAATCTCTGCCCATCCCATCAGGAATGGATCAGACCCCCAGAGGAGTATAACTAGGGGCCATAGAATAATTCTGAAGTAACTAAGTAATGTCTGTCTGAAGTGTGGGAACAACCTGGATTACGCAACAAAGTATCAAGTCTTCTTGGGCTTGCAACCTTGCACTCCCATGCTTAAGCGCTGCCTAAAACTTACGCTAGGAACCTCGTCCCTTTACTCAGAATAGCTTCAAATAATTTTGTAAAGACTTACATTACTCCTGAGTTCTTCCAGGTAAAGAACAGCATGGGTCTACATGTGAAGTTAAGCATTGATTTGAGTGGTTCTAACCTCTACTGCAAGGTCCTTGTTCAGGCTGTGTCCGTTCCCCTCACCTCTCCCTGGAAACAGAGTTCCTCCATGACACCAGCACGGATGCTGAGCACATTCCTTTCTGAGCTGGTCCAGCCTGTCTCCAGATCTAGCTCACTGATTGTCAGCTGCCAGGCATGACTGAATTTCGTTCCCCTGGAAATGCAAAATTAAATCTAGCAGCACAAGCAGAGGGAAAGAGGAATAGGGCTAGCAGTATGCTGTGAAATTTTAGGAGGGTACAGATAGGTAAAAAGAGAGGAGAGGGGGTCAATTATTCTCCAGCAAGCACTAATCCAGACATTTGCCTATTTTGCCCGTGCTTTTAGCCAGTTTTGCTTTTGGTTGTTATCTTCGGGTGCTTAACTTGATGCTGAAAATTGCACTGGGTAACAGAGTGCCTTAAATTATAGAAGCAGTGATGAGTTAGATTATGAATGTAGACAAAGAGCCTGAGGCCCAGATGCCTAAAACTCAGCCCTACAAACACATATAGAATTTTGTACAGGATAACCTGCATTATGTGCAGGTTTCCATTTAAACTCTTGTCCTGTCTTTCTTTTAAATATGAGCAACTGTTCAGCGTGGCTACTAAACCTATTCCCACACACATTTTTCTATGAATATGCCACAGTTTCCTCACTCATGCATGCATAACTTGCATCTACGTAAAACATCCCAGCACTTTTCCTAGTTCCTGGGTGAAATGTGTGCTTTGGCCAAATCCTGACCCCATGGGGAGGGAGAACCAGAATGCAAATCAGTTCTTCTTCCTTGCCCCACGTATTTCCATGCTGAGGAAAATCTCAGAGGTAGCCTGGATGTGCTGAAAAGTTACCTTTGGTGCTGATAAAATTCAGCCCACATAACGGGAGTGCTTACACTGATAAGGATGGCAACGGTTCAAAGGTTAATAGAAGTCAATGCTATTGGACTGAAAAAGGGAAAGATTTTGCTAACTTTTACTTTTGTTCTTTCAGCTCATTCTTCCCTCCAGAGAAATGGAAGAAAATATTTAAATTCCAGAACCACAGAATCACAGACCAGCTGCGATTGGAAGGGATCCTCAGAGATCATCTTGTCCAACTTGACTGCTCTAACAAGGCCACCCAGAGCAGACTGTCTAGCTCTGTGTCCACTTGGGTTTTGAATATCTCCGAGGACAGAGAGTCCACAGCCTCTCTGAGAAACCTGTGCCAGTGTTTGACCACTAAAAGATATTAAGACTCTAAAGTCAGTCCTTTTTCAGTCATCTTTTTCCTTTACCTTTGGGATATCATAATCCCATTCCATTTCTCATTTCTTCCTCCTCCTCAAGTGAGACAGAGATCCAGCTGCCTTTAATCCCATGATGAGACTCCAAAGTGAATTCAGATGGGAGTCAGAACTTGTGATATGCCTTGCAATGTGATGCGTGATCTGTGCTGATCTCAGATATGCGGTCACTTCCTCTTTGATTGCAGGATGATGGATTGTCCATGCATTACAATAATAATGCTATTTAAGGACTGAACTGAGATATTAAAAAAAGTGACTTTTGGTTAAAAAAAGAATGAAGTGAAACTGTAAATGCGCATAATTCCTTGGGAGACCAATTTCCAAACTGTGGTCCGCAGATTTCAGAGTCAGGTGTGCACTGTAGACTGTGGGGGGAAAGAAAGCAATACGATTATCACTGCAGGGGAAAGAGGCATCTATACAAAGTCCTGTACCTCCACAGGAGAATTCCTAGGGGTCTAAACAGAAGAAGGTTGAAAATCAGTGACTGAGATTTTGGTACAGGCTGTCCACCCTTACAAAGGGAACCTGCTGCTTTCCTCTTCTTTGACACAATATGCATGGTCCAGCAATTTGGGCAGACAATTTGATAACTAGTGAGCATGGTGGAAAGACAAAATATGTTCATTCAAATGCCATTTGCAACATCGTGTGCATCTACAGTAATGAGCTGTGTTGATTACAGAACAAGACTTCAGAAAACCAGTGCCCCACAGAGTCTATTTTCGCCTGCTGACATCACATTTTCAAACTGCTTTTTTCCTTCTTTTTCCTCTAGTTATTTTAGGCTAAATTCTGCCCACACCTGCAAGCTGTATGTTTGCAATTGAAAGCAATTTTGGCCCTAGCCTTATGCTCCTTTTGTTCTAAAGACATACAAAAAGTTAAGACAAAATACAGAGTCCAGGCTACCTTTTCTCTATGCCAGCTTTTAAGTAACTTTTTTCATGGCTTGTGCTAAGATGAGAAAACAGGAGGCAGGTGCCAATATGCTCTGTTTACAGAGATTCTGATGTTGCTGGGGATCTGGAAACAACTTTTAAGTGCAGGACCTGCTCCTTTTCCCTCTATTGGGATATTTTAAGTACAGTAAAAATGTGAGAATCTTAGCAAATGGTCTCTAATAGTTGGTTACCACCCTACAGCCATAAATCTTGGGATCCTGTAATTCTGGACCACTATTGTTATAGTCTCCTGTGCCTCTTTTTCCTCAAGCCTACCTTCCCACATTCATCCCAACAACAGTTATTGAACCAGACAGCAATAACACACAGCAAATGTAATAATCAACGATTGCTCTATTAAATGTATCATTCTAGAAATTTCTAGCCTATAGAAGTTCTCTTATTCACCTACTTGCACAACTAGTGACAATGGCAGTGCAATCTCTGAGAAGCTAACATCACTCTTGTTTCCTTTTTTCAATTTCCCCACAGCAAATCTTGAAAGTGCCCAGCCATATTCTGGTAAAGGTTGCTACAAGTCAATGCACCAGGTCAACATTACACTGTCCTTCTTGCTTTACTAAATTAGCAGTGCTATTCCCAAAGGCAAGACCTCAGTGTTCATTTAAACTTATAATGTAGATGCCTGTTTGCTTAAATGATCTGTAAGATAGAGATACCAGGTATAACTGGGATATTCCCGTAGGATTGCATTCAAGAAAGATTAATCATTTCCATAGAAACATACTATGAACATGGTTCAAGCTGCTCCACTAGTAGCAAAAGCATGTTTGAAGTCAAAGGTCATGTTGCTGAATGATTATTGCAGTTTCAACATCATTTATGGAGTAGTGTGAAGAGGCCTGATCCATAACAAAGTAGGAAGACACCACAATTCCACGAAATTCCTGTTGACCCAGTGCAAATTTTAGCTCTCACCAACACTATAGCCTTTACCTGTTTTACTGGTGTCAGCACTCAGATACTGGCAGTGGAAGGGGCTACACCATACTAGGCTGCCTCAGGTTCACAGTTCAGGAGGAGGAGATGCAGAGGAAGGTGACACAGCCAGCCTCAGTAACCTGTAAACCATCTCTACACCCCAGGGTACCACCACTCCTCCCTGGGATGCCTCACAGACATGTTCCCAAAGATTTTCTTCATCTCACTGTAGCTTCCTACTCTATTTTCTGAAGAAATAAGGTTACCTGGACTAGTAGCAGGTGGCTGTAAGGTTCCTATTTGGCATGACTTCCAGTATGAATAATAGCAGTGGGTGTGGGAGATCACACAGGTTTTCTTTATGTGCATAGACTTTGCCATAACTTCTCCTTGGTGATCTTTTTGGCAGATTGTGGCAGCCTGTAGCACACATTGCTCTCTTAATCAAGGAGCAGCCACGATGTCTATATTATATGGCCAAAATGTAGCCAGATGTCATCATAAGACTTGCGCTATTTGGGGAGATGATAAAACTTGACTAGCATAAATTCAGAGGTTGATTAGTGGAAAACAAATTAGTGAGAGCACATGTGAAGGATGTGGAAATTTTAATTAATTACCAGTGGAACTCCAGTGGTGCAAATGAGGCATTAGTCACTGTGCTGGGCTGCTGCGTTGTACATGGAAAGGTACCCAGAAAAATCATCTTCCTGATCATTTCAGAGCAAGCCCAGATATGAGGCCATATTCGGTCCCAGCAAGGCTGCAGAGGTGGTCCAGTGTGGAGATATGGTACTAAGACATAGTAGACAACAAGCTTAACCATTAACTAAGGGATAAAAGAGCCTCTCTGCATCTAAACTATTACTCCAGGATTTGGAAACCCTAGGAAATTTTCAAAGACTCCATGTCAAACTTTTGTATGCACAGGAAGAGCTAAATTAACACCTAAAGCATATACAGTAAAACCATGAATAATAATGAATAATAAAGCAACATTCTTGAAAGAAAAGAAGTTGTTGGGAGAAAAAAAATCACCTAATTTTGTTGGTTTCCATAATTTACCTGTCAGCAACTGCAGAAGACTCGAGAAAGGTACTTGGAGACGCTGTGTGAGAATCATCCCTCCCACTTTCACTGCAGACATCTGCTCACCTGTTCTGGGCTTAGTCCCTCCCAGCCATAATCACCCTGGAATGACTTCAACAAAAAATCCCATTACAAAAGCCACAGAGTAATGGATTGCTTATTCTGCAAGCTTGTGCCATGGGTTGATTTTTCCCCCTCTTCTTGATTGCTGGATAGCAACACATGCTCAAGACAACGAGCCTCATTGAGGTCACTGAGGCAGCCTAGGTATCCCATCAGGGACACACGTTGCTGCTCTTGAGCATCTCTTTTGGAGCACTCCAGCAACTGGGGAAGACTATTTTCCTTCATCTGTGGTTGTACCTAGCTAGATCATGCGTTTTCCATCCTGATATATTTCAAAAGTGCCAAAGAATATTGCAAAACAGCCTAAAATTACACTTTAAATGCAGCAGTCTCTGATTTACAGAGCAATTATAAAACATGTCAAGGTAGTTATTAGCTGTGAGATTGAGTATTACAAGTTTCAGGCTGTAAAACATACTGAGGAATTTTTAACTGTGATTGTATATTCACCTCTAAAGAGAAAATGGGCTTAATTACACCAACATTTATGAAAGGGAGAAATAACAGCAAAAATGGAAGAAAGGTTAAATTTGAAGACAAGAGCTGTGAATACATAAAACATTTATATTATTACACTTCTAATTGAACATCTAAGCAGAAGCTAATGATTTGATTTAAATTGGTCCTTTTTACATAAGTATCATTTGAAGAATTTTGTGGTTTAGAATTTATAATGACACTATTTTTCCCTATGATTACTCATCTTCAGCATAGAAGATTCAACCAGATGCAGGAAGAATT